GCTCTTGTAGGAATGACAGCACCTCTGCCAATTCGGAAGTGAGAGGGTCTTTGCCGTGGTTTTGACACCAGGCAGAGAAAAAAGACCATTTTAAGGCATAGAGGCGTCTTGTAGACAGAGGTCTAGCCTCCGAAATTGTGTTTAAGACTCGCTCTGGGAGGCACGAAGGCTCCTGTCGAGCGGCCAGAGGTGCAGGGCCTATAGGTCGGGCAGAGGATGCCATAATGTCCCGTTCGCTTGAGAGAGGAGATCCCGTCTCAGTGGAACAGGCCAAGGGGCCGCTATCGGTAGCTGAGTAAGCTCTGATAGCCACAGCTGGTTCATCCAAAGGGGGGCTACCAGGAGAACCCTGTGTTCTTGTTCCCTTACTCGCCTGATTACCTGTGGGATCAGAGTGATCGGGGGAAAGCATAGACAAAGAGGTTGGGCCAATCGTGGGCCAACGCGTCCCTGGTCTTTGAGAAATAAATTTGGCAGTGAGAGTTGTCTTCTGAGGAGAAGAGGTCTACCTCGGCCTCACCGAAGATCTCCCAGATCTTCTGAACCGTCTGCGGATGGAGCGTCCACTCCCCTGAGGGGACATTGCTCCTTGATAACATGTCCACTCCCTGGTTCAATTTGCCCAGTATATGCGCTGGCTTTAGCGAGCGCAGGTTGGGTTGAGCCCACTCTAAGAAGCGCTCTACCAGCATGAAGAGGCGTTTTGAAGAGAGGCCTCCCTGGCGATTTATGTAGGACACAACCGACATGTTGTCTGATCAGATTAGCACATGGTGCCCTTTCAGGACTGGCAGGAAGAACTGACAGGCTCGACATACTGCTAGCATTTCCAGGCAGTTGATGTGGAAGCCTTTTTCCGCCTTCGACCAGTGGCCGAAGGTCGGTATGCCCTCGCACAGCGCCCCCCAACCTGAGTTGGCGGCGTCTGTCATGACAACTGTCCTTCTGTGAACCATCCCCATGGCCACGCCCTGTTCCATCCAGTGGGAGTTCTTCCAGGGGGTCAGGGCCGATACACAGGCCTGACTCACCCTGATATGCAGACGTCCGTGACGCCACGCATGGGATAGAACCCGTGGTTTCAACCAGCGCTGAAGGGGGCGCATACGCAGATGCCATGAGGCCCAGCATCCTTTGAAACGCTTTGAGAGGGCGAGCGGTACCGATCTTGAAGGAGGTCGCCAGCCTCCGTATGGCCAATGCTCGTTCCGGCATGACTACTGCTTTCATTTGGGCTGAGTCGAAAATTGTTCCCAGGAACGAAATTCGCTGGCTGGGAAGCAACGAGCTCTTGGGAAAATTGACCCTGAGTCCCAGGCACTCCAGGTGGCTGAGGAGGAGGGTTCTGTGAGATATTAACTCTGCCTCTGACTGGGCCAGAACGAGCCAGTCGTCGAGGTAATAGATAATATGGATTCCCATCTGTCTTAGAGGGGAGAGAGCCGCATCCATGAACTTCGTAAAGTGCGGGGGGGGGGGCAGGGACAGCCCGAAGGGAAGGACCGTATATTGATAAGCCACTCCCTTGAAGGCGAATCTCAAGAAAGGTCTGTGACGAGGGGCTATCTGGATGTGAAAGTGTGCATCCTTCAGGTCCAGAGAAAAGAACCAGTCTCCCGAGCGAATTTGCGCGAGGATTTATTTCAGTGTAATAATCCTGAATGACCTCTTCATAAGGGCGCAACTCAGGTTTCTGAGATAGCGGATGGGTCGGAGACCACCATCTCTTTTGGGGACGAGGAAGTAACGACTGTAAAAGCCCGGAGACCACCATCTCTTTTGGGGACGAGGAAGTAACGGCTGTAAAAGCCTGACTCGCTCTGGGCTGGAGGAACCTTTTCCACGGCTTCCTTTGCCAGCAAATTCATCACCTCAGAGCGCAGGACGAGTGAAGTATCGAAAGGGAACTGGTGAGCTATTCTTTTATAGGAAAACATGTGGCTCAAGGAAAGCACTTGCCTGACTTCCTGCCATGGTTGTCAATGTGTTCTTTTGTGTTAATGTTGAAAACTGTTCTGTGACAGGGGTTTAGGTTTAGGCTTGCTTCAGAAGGGCTAGGGTCTGATTTATGACATCCTGTTGTCTTGGGCCTCTGTGGAATTTTTGTGACTCCTCGTGCCTCAACTCGGTTTTGACCAAATCTTAGATTGTCTGATTCGGTCTGATATCCTACATAAATGACTTCATAGCCTGACCAAATGTTATTATCAACCCAGGCTTCCACATTTGCATCATCACTTTCAGCAGCCATAATAAAGAAAAATCAGAATTGATAGTTTTAATTTTTCAATTATTTCTTATAGACAGTGATGCTATTAAATGACAACGGGATCATACAGAGACTCCTATGTAAATTTTGTGCTTTTTTTCCCCTTAGAAAAATACAAAAGTAATGTGACTGGAGTTTAAAAAGAGACCTCAATAATGTCTCAAATTGTGCTTAGATCTACCGAGTATCAATTACTTAACTAACATCAGATTACCTGAGCTATAATCTACTAATTATCCACTGTTTATGTATGTCAACAGTTTTGTCAGTTAATTAACTACAAGGGTAAAAAAGAAAATTGCAGCCTAGAACTGTTTTTTTTTTTTATCCAATAACAGTCAGTCTGTGAGATCCCCTTGACTCTGACTAACATGTGGCCCTGCAATATATATGTAATGATGCCAGACACTTTCAAACTGGTGATTTGGCTGGTGGTCAGCTGTCTTGACTGTTTTGATCAGATTGGCTTTGTATGTATACTGTAAAGTCACATGCAGGTTTGTAATATTGTGTTCAGCAAATTGTGTTCTTAATCAGTATCTTTGTTTTGTTGTCGAGGCAAACATATGAACATTCCTAAAACCATAAATTTACCTAAGAAGCAAATCTGCATAAGTTAATTTAGTTTTATGCTTAAAACAACTAAAAACTATTTCCAGTGGAGTGAATTATACACTTGCACTAGATATATTCTGTAAAACCAGTCTTAATATCTGATGCAATTTTGCTTACATATTTGTTTTTCTGAAAACAACAATACTGGAAAACAAAATTATTGATTAAGAAAAAATACTTTATGCAGTGTAATCTCTCTTATCATACAATTTACATCTTGTATCTTCTCCTGTTTCAATTCAAATCAGTTCAATTCAAATTTATTTGTATAGCGCTTTTTACAATACAAATCGTTGCAAAGCAACTTTACAGAAAATTAAGTTTCTACAATATTGAGTAGTTTCCTAGTTTTTAGTGGTTTTATCCAGCATATATCATATTTCAGAAACTTATTTTGTGTTTGCACATCTTCTTGGAAGTAATTTATGTCGTTTTATAAATGAAACCCTGGGTCTGAAGGCTATGGAGTTGTCAAATCCAACACATTTCAGCTTTAAGAGCATTAGTGAAATAAGCCTGTGTACAAGAGCTGATGAGCAAAACATCAGTTCTTACATGCTGCCTGTTTGTTTGTAATTGTACCTTTCTTTCAGACATAACGTGAAGGCAATACTGAAATATTTCCACTCAAACTGTTAAAAACAAGCTATTATTTTTTTATTTGCCCTCAATGAAATTGTGAATTTCCAGTAAATTCAAATATAAACGTTAGTACACACAATAATGTCTTCACAGCTATTTGTTTCTAACATTGGCTACTCACGTAATGCTAATTTACAAACTCACTGGAGCCAAATCCTTAGCTGTTATCTATAGGACTGTGATTTTGAGGCAGGAATGGTATATTTTAGAATGTCTTTATCTCACCTTTTCAAGCACCATAGGGCTGAAATCACTCTGAATGAGCATTAGTCAAAGACCACTGTCAGCAAACATAAGCAGCGGTCTCTTGTGGCATTACATCTGCTTCATGAATAACTGACAGGTGAGGATTGAATAATACACAATCCTTTGTCAACATCACTCACTGTTCCCTGATGAACAACCACAAAACCACAGCCCGCAATGTTCTTCCAGTATAATGGGCCAAGTTGCATCCACCTACACTTAATATAACTTTAATTTAATTTAATTAAAAAAAAATTGTAAAATATAATCAGTGTAATTCTACATGAAATCAATATGCTCAATCCAGGCTCATTAGAAAAAAAAGGTTGTTGCATACAACATACAAATTAAATGTATGGTGACTGGCAATAAAGTAATAATGCTCTGAAAATAACATACCACCTACACAAAACCCTACCCTAATCATAAATGATAATATTAAGAAAAGTGATGAGATAAAATGAGATAAAAAAAAATAAAAAATTCTGAAGCAGCCATTCTCAACCATCAAAGACCTATGAGGCTTTGGAGCTTTTTTATAGTGACTCATGTTTTACAGGATTTGTACTCAAGTGCTCTGAGCAACTTTACTATGTCGGAAAAGTCATACATATGAAGCTGGTTATGTTATGCAAATGTTAAAATATATTAGCAAAAAACAAACTACTAACTAACAAATTAGTACAAAATCAACACTGGCATATATTGATGACTCATCCTGCACTACACAAGTTTTAATCCAATCAGATGCTCACTAGGATGAAAATGTCCCGCCCTCTATTGCCACCTTCACCCAACTAGCATGGAAATCATGCAAATCTTAGTGACAACCAACTGACTATTAAAAATTACATAATCCCTTCAGTATGTCCCACCCAAACATCCTGTTTCAAAGAAAGAAAGAAAAAAAAACATCAACAAGGCATTTCATGGGGTCTTATATATGGACCCTAACAATGTGTCTAGCAGCTTTTTAAAAATGTGCACATGAAACATTCGGGAATGAAAATAACAGTTTCAAAGAGCAAAGAGGGACCCTTTGAGGTGAGGTTTTTGGGGGGCATTAAAATGACATTTGTGTAATCTTGGCCAGGTACTTGATAGAAGGCTGAAATTGAGAACGGCTTTGCACGAAGGCACAGAGGGACAGCTTTCAAAGACACATGGTGAACCAAGGGAATTAATAGCTCTCCATGCATATGTGGCTAGTCAGAGATGAAATACTCACTGCCTCCTCATGTGGAAATGGTGCATCATTATCAGCAGAGGGGAAAAGGTCTCTTCAATGGACACACACTACACACTTCTGTTGTCTGCAGACCCTTGCAGATTCCACTCAGCAATCTGAAGAGAGAAGGAGAGAGAGACAGAAACAAGCAGATGAAATGACAAAACATCCATGCTTGTTTGTATTTTTTGCCCCACACTCTTATTTCACTCATGCAGTGTCAGGGGAAAACACTGTCTGTTCACTGAAAGCATTCCCAGGCTAACATGGCTGTATAATGTGGTAAGGATGTTATGTGTCCCGTTTCTAGTTCCCAAGTACAAACTCTTTCTCCCACATGCAAGATAATCATCCTGTGAAGTGTTTCCAGGCTGGAAAAGAAAGAGACAGCAGGGGGAAAGTGGAAAATGAAGCTGGCATCAAGGTTTAATTGGGTATGTATATCTTCCAGGTATCCTCTATAACGGTTTGGGGAATGTGTGATGGGTTAAAGCTGTGAGACAATGAGTCACTGTAATAGACCATGCAAGATGGTCTAGAGGGACCTCATGCTCACTGTTTACCCTCATTACTGCGTTTGCATTGAAACCAAATTTTGAGGTTTACATTCATCATTGTGATTAATTTAATATGATCCCTGTCTCTCCTCAATGCTGTAATTGATCCAAGGCACATTAAAAAGGCTCAGCTATACGTGAAAGAACAGTAGATAGTTTACCTTTTATCAGAAGAACAAATGAATAGATGACGACACAAGAAAACAAATGTTAAAATAGAAAGCAGTTCTTTTAATTCATTAATATAT